ATGAGCATTATTTTCCTTAGCATTAAATTGACGTAGGGGGTTGGGATGTCATAATTACATGGCTGATCCATGGAGTTAAACTGAATGATCCATTCGTAGGACTCTTAGACAAAACATTTCCATCTCTGTGTTCGTGGCTGACCCACAAAGCACACGTCCAATATTCCATTCTCTACCTCTAACTGCAGTCAACTCTCAAATCTGTACCGTTCCATGCTTGCTTAAAACCCTCAAACCCCCACGCCCCCCTTTCTTCACCACATCTGTCTGTCTCCCGTCTGAGCCAAGGACGAGGAGGGCCAAGCTGACATGCAGAGGACAGCTCTGCACCAATCAGGAGACAGAGATGGCGTGTGTCAATTAAATGGTATGCGCCTTTGCTGCTAATCACAGACACATGTTCTGCTCGCCACCTCCCACTCTGGTGCTGTTGCTCCTTTTTCTGCACCACCTAATGCAGCGTAATCATCCTCATTACCTAATGAGGCTCCACTGTACACTAAAACTCTCTTTCTTCCCCTTGCAGCCAAATGTTCACGCAAAATACTAAAGTAGATGTAGTGCACAAACATCTGAGCCACTGCCATGCTGTCAACAGAGGAGCCCCTAATGCCAGAGCACTGTAAAGCCTCTAATGCCGCAGTAATACCATTGTAATGTGTATTATCAACAGGACAGTGAGCACTGAATTAGGCTGGCAGCTGGGGAGGGGAGAAACCCCTCATTAGCTTCCTTCAGTGTATCTACTTCTCCTAATCGCATACAATAACATAATCTCTTTAAAAGTGCTGCAGCTTAAGTCCAATCTGCCTAAAACCTGACACGTGATTTGGGTCAATCCCCCTGTAAAACCAAACTGTGGGGTCCAGAGAACTCACACACTTCTAAGTCTCACAATATTAGCGAGTTTTAATGTGGCTTCTTGTACAAATAATGCAGAAGGAATTCTGTTTCATTGTTTTGTAAATTTAATGTTTTCAGTCCAACAGTGGCCGCAGAGGCCTCAGATTCTTGACTGGTGTTCGGAGCTTCTGCTTCTATTCGAGCACCACTCTGCTGCTTTTGTTTCCCGATGTTGCCCTATAGTGTCTCTTGCCTTTAAACCGCTTACAGATGTTGGCAGCAGGGAGCTTTGTGGCAACTCCAAACGAGGACATCTAAATGGAGATCAGGCTGTAAAGTAAAAAGAAAGCTTGGACTAAGAAAAAGATTTTTTTAAAACTAGGTGGAAAGCTAGAAAGCAAACGCGAGCATGGGAGTGAATGGGAGAAAGAGATGAAATAGTGAGTGAACTTAAGTGAAAAATTAGTAGACACAGAGAATAAAACTAACTGGGCATGTGGTTAGATGTGTGTGGTCTGTCAAAAAAGACAAATTAAATTCATCTGTCCATGTTTTGGGCTAAACTTACAACTTGATGTGTAAAGGCTGATTTATATTTCTTTATCAGCCTGAGCTGGCAATGCAATTCCCTGCCAGGACAACAGAGGGCGTAGCACTTTTTGGGAGTATCCTGCCAGCACCATGTGTGACCAGTCTATGATAGTTTGTTAACTATTGTGTATATATTGTGTTTATGTATGTTGTCCTCCATCTCTTCATGCGGTCGCCACCTCTAAACCCACATTTCCCATAATTGCTGCCCATAAACAAAACGCTGCAAATCTTTCTACTACTTCATTCAGAGGTAAATAAACATAAATAACTTTGGACTTTTCCACAAGATGTTCTTTAATCTATTCTGTGTCTGCTGCTAAATATCTTTGGCTTCCTTTAGTTTTTTAGGTGGCAATGGTGTTGCTGTTGATAAAGTCAAAGAAAGCTGCGTCCTGACCAATCACAAGCTTGCGGTCTCCATCACGTTGAACATTAGTAAAAAAAAATTGGGCATGTTTCCATCAGCCTTTGCGAGCTTGTCGGAGAGTGCTTGCGCTGACGCATAATGGCGTTGTGTTTCTCCGTACCCACGCAGACGGAGAAGTATAAATCAGTCTTAAGATGGCTTTATTCACATGCTTAAGGAGGTCAAACATGATAGCGGGGTCAAAGGTTGACACACTCCTGCCATTCATGCATAACGGTCTGAAACATTTGATTATTTCCCCAAAAGGTGAATCATGATGTTTCCTATTTTACAGAATTTTCTGTGAAAATCTATTTTTGTAGCATGTATGTCGAGCTGAATGATTTACAAATGTTACCACACACTTTCTTACCCAAACACTGCAGCGCTTTAGGGGCTGATAATGAATCTCCTTGAAAGTCTCTTCAGTTCAAAACCACAATGTCATATTCGCCTTTCCAGTTACAACTCCCTCAGCAGGTCTTTATGTGAGAGAGCTGGCTGTAACATAAAGGAAGGAGTCTTGCCAGCTGGAATTGACCATAAAACGGTGGAAAACAGTTCAGCTGTAGTTTGGCGATGGCTCTATGTTGCCTCCCTCCACCAGTTTTACAGGAAGTAGCCATGTCCCGGCCGATTGGAGAGGAAATATGTTGAAGTGCTACATCCTGCTCTGGTTGCCCACAGCATGGTACAGCTAATGCTCATTATGTCCAGAAACCTCCTTGGGAGTAAAAAGCACACAAAGAGGAAGAGAGGTGATCACAGGTCTGTTGGGCCACTCCCATCGCAGTGATTGTATAGGACTAACCTGTCTCTTCCCAGCTCTTTGCCATATTCCTCCTCTTCCTCTTTCCCCCTGCACTTTATTTATTAATGGATCCATTCAATTATTTACCTCACATCTTAGGGCAACAAAAGGCTGGAGCATGGTGCACAGAGTGAAAACGATACAGAACAAATGCACACAGATCACAGGTTTTCAGTTAAACGACTAGTTCATCTTTACGCTGTCACTCATGTTTCAACAGCTGTTGCTAACTGATGCTATTAGATATTTGGAAAGTAAAAGATCGGTCATTGATTTTGACAAAGTTTAACACTCAATGAGTTTTTTTTCTGCAACAAACCTCCTTACTTTTATTATTAAAGGCCCTAAAGTGAAACTGTGTAGATTTTTACCAATAATCTCTGGAAATATCCATTGAAATGTTGTTGGAAATTAATTAAATGATGCCTAGTTGTTGAAAATATGGGCAGCATTGTAACATATAACCATAAAATTGGGTGTAAAATACATGGGAGTGGGTCTAAGTCTCTGGGTAATGCCATATTAGCCGCCATATTTCCTTCTATGAGAGCCTGTGAGGACAAAATGCATTCACTGATTTTTAACAAACGGTTACAAAAAATTCACCATTCATAAGCATTGTTGATTTACACATTTAACTCTTTGCTTGTCATTTTGCTGGATGTTGCGCTCCCAGGAATTTTTGACTCTAACGGCCATCTGTTGGTTGGGTCTTACTCAAACATAAAATACTGTACTGTACTGTTTGCCCCCTATCGCCAGGGAAACTACACACTTTCACTTTAAAATATTTTTATACATTGCAAAAAGCTTGAGTTCATAAATTAGCTAATCATTTAGCTATATGAAGATCTTTTGTGATGTCAGTGTTCATGTATTTCACATTGCACCACGGTAGTGTGTGGCAAGAATCAACGCATGTTGCCTATAATACGGTTGCTTTGCATGTTTGGAGGAGGATTTTGCAAAGCAGATGGATTACTCTTGCTATGTAGTGGAAGGCTGGATAAAAGGTTGTATTGGAATTTCCTCCATAAACTACGAAAGAGATTATAGGAAGTGATCCGGGCTCTCCGAAGAAAGCCTGGACTACTGCAGCAACAGACAGTTTGTGGGGCTCATTTTGTTCAAAGTAAGTCCTTGTGACTAAGTATTTGTTAATTAGAGAAGTTGTTTTTAAAAACAGTTATTTTCATGTATTTTTAAATCTACGGAGTCATGTTGTTTTTGTGTTCTGATTGAGGTGTCTCACCCCGCGATCATAATAATAATAAATAAAGAAATAATAAGGACACTGATTAATGATGACATACCCGGCTTTGCTGCCACTGTGAAAAGTATCCGTTTTCTTTGGCCATCACCCACAGGTGATGTAAACAGTGCTGTGGCTCTGCTCTTCGGAGCTAACTGCTGCTATTAGCATGACCGCGGTTATCTATTTTCAAAAGAAATTGGCTCAACTTTCCCTAAAACAAAATAATCGTAGGCTTCCAGACGTTTGAAAATCTTTCATTTTTCTGGAGTGAAGGCTCCAGGGCTTTTTGATTAGGAATAAATGTTTCCCCAGCAGATTTGTGGGGAAAAACAAAAAATAAGAAAACACAGGCGAATTGGACAAACATTTTCCGTCATCCCAGAGCTCACACGGGTTTTTAATAACTTTAATTTTCTTATAAATACAGATTTCAAGCTTCTCTCTAAACCTCCTCTTATCTTTAGACATTGAAGTGTTAATATATCTGGGATTTTGTCTGTAAACTCTCTTAAAAATATATGTCGCTTATTGATAGCAGTTTGTTTTTGCCACCCAGCCACTCCTGCATGTGCACAAAGATGAAAAAAGATCTCAACAAAGATCCTCCTAAAAAAAAAACTATAAAAAGTGATGTTTATATTTGATATTTCCAGTGTGTTTCTGTGAAAACATCAGGACTGAATAGCTAACGGTTAATCGGAACCAGCAAAGACTAATGTGGATTGTTTCCATTTGAAAATGACTTAAATCACCCAAACTTCATGGTAGTTTATGTAGACCTTTTTCCTTAACCCTTACACAAGCTTACATTTCATAACATTTCAGCCAAAAAAATAAAAAGAAAACTGTTTGATGCCAAAAGGAATATGGTGTAAAGCTTGTCGGATTAAATTTGAATTGGCAGCAACACACTCTGGATATTGCTCAGATAAGACATGAAGAATTGTCTTTATTTTGCTGCTGGTGGGATGTTTACCGTAAGTAACTGTGGAAAGGCTCTAAATAAGTGATTGTTCTTGCATGGGTTTATTTTGTTTTTTATAGTTTTGTGCTGCATGCTTTTATTTTGGTGAACCTGAACAGGAAATATGGGGAGAGCAAAGGTCTATTGACTTTTGCTTGGAAACTGACAGCATGCTGTAAGACCTGGCAGACAGGACTGGGCCTCTATACCCTACCTTCTGACAATTAAGCACCTAGCTGGAATTGGGAACAAGGTATCGTTTGATGCATGTGTTTTATGTGGATTGATGTGATTTTCTATGTATGTTGTTGTGTTTAAAGTGGTTAAATGCAGAGCAATGGTAATAGTCATCTCAACCATAGAGCCATGTCAACACCCATGCTAATATTAGCTTTTGTGTGGTTCACATGTTTGGACTTAGTTTTAATATTGGCTTTAGCTTTTAGCATGTTTATGCAAATTTCCGATCTCACTCAACCTACTATCAATGTAGATTCAATAAAATTGTGAATGATAATATGGCATAAAGGTAAGAGCTCGTTATAATTTCATTTATCTGTTTTATTTAGCTCCTACGGTGGTTCAAGAAGGAAAGGTGGATTTGTGTTCAAAATAAGGATGCCAGCTGAACATAAATAAAAATACCTTGAGAAACACCCTTCACCTTTGTCTGGCTGGGTTCGCTACAGTAAGTCAAGGCAAAACCATAGAATCCCATGAAAATAATTGGCTGGACTTGGTCTAGCCTTTAGCTTGTCACTCCTGTCGATTACAAACTACATTTGCTGAAACAGAGACCTTTAAACAAAACTTTTAAGAAATGAGCAGGAATTATTTATAAATTCAACACAGAAACACATTAAATCTCTTTAACCCTGACCCCACGAGGAAAGTTGACCATTGAGCAGGATCGATGGTTTATCCCTTGATGTCCACGTTGCAGGGGTGAGAGGTGGTGCTCACTCCTCACCCCTGCCACATGGACCCAAGGGATAAACCATCAACCCTGCTCAGTGGTCAACTTTTCTCACGGGGTCACGCCCGTTAGGACAGTGGGAGGGTTAAATTGCAATACTCCTTTATCGGAGTGTAGAGTCGGCACAGCCTTAAAACTTTCTACAGCATCCTGTTTTGAGCAGAAGCTGATTGTTCAAATGCATCGCTGACCGCTCTGATTCTTTTATCTTCTCTCTATAGTCCTATCCCCGCATCGGCCAGACAAAGATCAATCCCACCAGGAATAGGGTTTCACATCCCGGAAGCAGAAACGTACACATGGGTCACTTTCATCGACTCACTGCGGCCGTGGCCGTTGGTATCTATCATACAGACCGATGACAGATCATGACCATGGAGGTACAAATTCATCCCAAAGAGAAGGACGACGCCGGCAGAAATCAGCTTCTGCTCCTTTTTTTTAGCAGCCTGGAGTTTTTCAACATGTTATCACTTACATTAATGCAATTACAGCATGGATTGGAAATACAGTTGTGGTTATTTGTGTTATTAAAGAACATGTTTTTGTATTTATGCATGTGTGGTGTAACAGACTGAAGATGAATAACAGATGTCGCCACAATCTGAACTCTCTAGACTTGGCTGGCCTCGGCAAAAGATTGAGGAGGGAAAAAAATGAAAGATGGAGATGAGAGAAGGTTAATTATAATTGTTATTTACTCGTATTCACTGCATCGACTACAGTGACACACACACACACACACACACACACACACACACACACACACACAGTGTATGAATGAACACCAAGTTCTTCAATGACAAAATTAAAGTAATATAAAGCATTTCTCTTATATTGTGTTTGTGTTCAATAAAATATTTTGCTGAAGGATTACCACTCCTGTGTGTGTGTGTGTGTGTGTGTGTGTGTGTGTGTGTGTGTGTGTGTGTGTGTGTGTGTGTGTGTGCGCGTGTGTGCGCGTGTGCGTGTGTCCCTTGAGGAAATCTTGCTTTAATTCCCTAGGAAGTGGTTGTGATTTAGTGCAGCAGGGCAATGACTTCGACTGACAGTTGTGTTGCTGCACATTTAAAATGAATTCCATAAAAATTAAATTAAATCAACACCAAAACAGATGCAGAAGTCTCCCCGATGGTGACTAAAAGAACAATTTATTCATCTGACAGTGGGAAAAATATGGTGAAATTAGCTAAATGAAAAAAAAAAATCAACGTTTTTGAAATTATGAGTGATACAAATAAGTTTGTGGAGTGTCAGATCTGACTAGTGTGCACGCTTCAGAGGCTTTGAAACACCTGCAGCATAGCTGAAGCTGAGCTGGTGGGTCCAGGTAAACAAGCAGAGCCCGGTTTGAGGCTGATGCCCGAGAAAACTCTCTGCTGCTGATGCTGATGAAAGAAGCAGCTGGAGGTGGATGCTGGCAGAGCAAGCTGAATGCAGATAGGATCTGTGTGGGGGGTTATGGATGTGTGATTGGAGACTAAAATCATTACAGTATGCCTGGTCATTGTGTCCTTGGCTCTTCCGCTGAGCTGAGACTGAGGCTTTCTTATTCACACGCCTTTTTTCCCAGATTTTACTCACATTTTTGATAAACAGAAAAAAGCCCATCTCTTTCTGATGAAATCGTTTCAGGGTGACATTTTTTAGCTTGATGTAAAAATCTAAAGTTGGAATATGCAGCAAAATGAATCCCCTTTTATTCCGCATTCAGATTTTTTGTGTTAAAACATCCCGATAATCTGACATCATGCTTTAATATAACCACTGAACTGGATCGTTCTTGGGGGTGGGGGTGGGGGTGGGGGGGGGTTCTGTTATTTGGGGGGATTATTATAATCATGGGCCTTTCCCCTCCCCTGCTTCACCCCAGCTGCACTCCTGCCCTCAGGCTGCAGAGGCTGTCCACAGAGGAGGGAAAACAGGAGGGAGGGAGAATGTAAACTAGACTCGCCTCGCTAGGGTCTCATTGGTTGACTCTGTGCATTGCAGTTTTGTCCTTGAGAATGTGCAGACACGGGGCAGATAATGTTCTGACACCAGAAACTCTAGAGCACGGCTAGATCAACACTTACTCCCCTCCTCCTCCTTCTTCTTCTTCTCTTGCAGAAACACTATCGGGGGACACGGACCGGAGAATGACAGCAGCACGTGATGTTTTAAAAGCGAAATAAAATTATGTTTTCAATCAAATAAATAATGGTAATGAACTTGGTGTGGAATTCGTGTGTTGGTTAGGTGATGAAAGACGCATGCCAGTTAGAAATTCCATAAATCCCAACAATTTTCCCACCAGATTATTCTAAAGCGGAAGTTTGGGTCAGCGAATTTTAGCGACGGAGTTTAAAAGAACTCACATTGTGTAGGACTCAGCCTCCAAGTATATTCAAGGCCATGCGCGGAGAAAGAGTAAATGATTTTACCACTTCATGTAAATCTGAGGTTTGCGTCTCTTCTCTGGTGCGCTGCAAGGTCAAAGATCTCCGTTTACCGTGCGCGCTCGTGCAGCGGCGGGCTTTCTGCACAAGTCAGCATGGCAGCAGGTACAGGAATCTCCCTGCAGCGGGCCACAGCATGAACTGCAAGACCCGGTGATCTAATCACTGCAGACCAGTGGGCTCCGAGCCAAAGTTTCCACGTCATGCGTCTGAACGTCTGATCATAAATTACAGACTAAGAGGGAAAAATGGCTCTAAATTCTCTTAATTGGCTGCAATGTCGTATTCATCATAAACCGTGGTGTCGACGTAGAAAAACTGGAATTGTTTTTATTTTCTAAAATTGTGAAGAAGTTTAAACATGTTTTGAGACGAATGAGAAGTCTGAGAGGGAGCTGTCGCCATTTCAATGACTTTAATAAGCAAAATAGGAAACATTTTTTTCCAAAAACAACAAAAAGACAAAACAGAAACCAGCCTGAATGGAACATTTCAAATTTAAGTGTTACTATTATTTATATAAACAGGACTGAAAATTAATTCCCTTCCCCATTATCATCATCACCATCATCATATCATCGCTTTACTTATGGAATTGGTGAAAACAAAACAACAACCCGCTGCTGCAGTTTTTCAGTTCGATTTCAACACAGTTGAATCAACAAAACCCAAAAAGATTGTTAGATGCGTGACTTTCAACGACAGTTTTTAATGCAAGCACCATGCTTAATCGATATGATCTGACACTTTAATTTAAATCATTAAAATAGAAAAACAACATTACTACGCATCTGGCCAGCAGAACCAGAATCATCAAATAATATTAATAATAATAATAACAGAAGCAGGAACAAAATATAAGTAATTAAAAAATATGGTTTTCATTTTGAAGATTTGAACAACCTGAGTCCCCTTTTTTTACTGACCTGCAGGGAAAAAATCAGGAAAACATAGAATTTTAGTAAAACTTGGTATCAAAACATGTTATATAATCACTAACGTTTGACACGTTTTTAAGTACTTGTGATAAAAAAGTGTTTATGTGAGCCCCAGTGTAAATACGCAACAGGTGGCAGATTAAGAAGTGTGTGTGGGTTGTTTTTTAGTCAAAAACATTTTGTTTGAGTGTAAATGTAAAAGAAACACTCGTAATTTATTCATTTATTTCGATAAATATAACCAAAAAAGAGTATTTCAATCGATTTTGCGCTAGTTACGCTATTTCATCATCCTCACACTTCACGCGCATACCAAAACTTTACACTTAGGCCTGCTATGAAAAATATTACGAGAAGATAGAACATGGAATGTCTTCCTGAAGGGGGGTCTGAGCAAACTTCAAATTGAAAACTTTCAAAAAAATCCAAAAGTGCACTTGACACAGTTTAAATGCAACTAAATAAATGCACTTTACTCTTTCAACCACCAACCCCCCTCCTCTCAAATGATAAACAAAAATAAATGTAATAAAAAACACAACACAAAGACAAAAGAAGTTCAAACCAGCCTCCTCAATCTTGTTGTGCAGTTTTTGTGATGGCAGAATATTTACAAGCCCAAAAAGAAACAACCCACACCCGTGATAGTTCCTCCCCGGCAGTCCTGCTGTTCTGTCCCTGCTGCAGTTCCCATACACCCCCCCCCCCCCCACACACACACACACACACACACACACACACGCACGCACGCACACACACACACACACACACACACACACACACACACACACACACACAAAACATAAAAAGAAAAATATAGAGAAGCGCAGATCAAAGACATGCTCTTAATATACACAAGAAGATGAAAGTACAAAATAGAAATTATTACCGTACATGTCCAGCATGCAGGATTAATATTCAATGCAGATTTTTTTTGTTTGTTTCTACATATATATTCGAATATAACCAAGCAGGCAATAAATCAATGAGATGTTGCATAAAACGTCCCTCCTCCCATTCCTTCTCCATCAGAGTTTGTTTAATTTGCATAAGTGAGATTTTTTTGGGAGTTTGTTCTCTTTTTATCTCAAACTGCTGGCCCACTTGTCGAATGCGTCGCAGGGGTGAGAGGCTGCAGGCCTGCGTGTTGATGTCATGAATTGGGAGCGCACCCACAGCTTCAGAGGAGAAGAAAGTTCATCATCAGCCGATCCTCCTTTTGGGAGAGGAAGAGGGGTGGAAATAAAATAAAAGTATCTTCACTACAAACAACTAATCTACAAAGACGCTGCGGCTGATCTAGTTTGTTCTTTGTATTTCAGTTGACACGTGGATGGAGAGATGGTTATATATGAGAATAATATCTGATGGATTATTCTTTTTATATGAATATAACTCTTTTTAGCTGTTATTAGTATAATCAAACAGTATGGGGGTGTGGATTATTATCATCGGTTCATAAAGTCAGTCGTATGCAGAAAAGTTGGAGGGATCGGGGTGGAGGGGTTCACGAGAAAACTCACATGAAGAACTCTGGAGATGAGGGGTTGTCGCTGGTCGAGCCGGCCTCGCGGAACCCATTACTGGCCCCCGACCCCGTCAGCTTCTCGCACTTGAGTTTGTAGGCGTCCCTCTCCCTCGCCAGCCGGCTGATCTCCGCCTTCAGCTGCTCCACTTGGTTCATCAGTTGCGTCTTCTCGTTCTCCAGCACGTGCTTCTGCTGCACGCGCTTGAACCTGCAGGACTGCGCGTAGCCCCGGTTCTTCAGGGTCCTCCGCTTCTGCTTGAGGCGGATGACCTCATCCTTGGTGAAGCCCCGCAGGTGTCTGTTGAGCTCCCGCACCGACATGGAAACCAGCTGCTCGTCCGAGAAGCGGTCCTCCACGTTGAGCCCGCTGCCTGCGCCGTGGTGCCCCGCCGACTGGCTCAGGTGACCGTGCGGGTGGTGGTGGTGATGGTGGCGGTGGTGATGGAGTGGCTGGTGGGAGTCTGGGGAAACAGGGGACGGGCTGTCGGGGTCCTGGCTGTGGTGATGGTGATGCTGGCTGTGCGGGTGGTTGTGTCCGCTAGGGAGCCCAGACAGCTCCTCTGCGTGATGTGGGATGCCCCCCGCATATGGGTGATGGTGCTGCTGACCGTGACCATGATGGTTGTGGTGGTGGTGTGGGCCCCGGTAGCCCTCGAAAGCGCCTTGCTGCTGCTGCAGCTGCTGCATGACGTGTGGAGGCTGGGGGTGGCCGTGCGCTGTTGCACCAATCAGGGCCTCCACTGCGTCCTCGGGGGTCAGACTCAGCGTCTGCGGGTCTATCTGTTGGTGATACCCGCTGTTCGGCATCCAGTACAGCTCCTCTAGGTGGTGTTTCTGCTCCGTGGGGCTGAAACTGGGCGAAGAGGGTACCGAGCTGCAGGGTGTGCTAATGGGAGTGGAAGACACGGAGCCCTGGGGCTGGAGACGGTTACACTGGCGCACACCGTTGCGATCCAGCCCGGCCAGGCCCTCCTTCTTCACGTCAAACTTCATCAGATCAAAGTCGTTGACATATTCCAGAGCCAGAGGGCTGCTGGGCAGCTCCGGGCCCATGCTCAGTTCTGCGCTCATGCTGCTGTCTCGACTCTTCTGCAGATACGCAAAAGTACTGGCAAGCGTCGCAAAATCAGACTTATTAATCAAAGTCTCTTCCCTCCTTCCTTGTTTCATGCAATACTATGTTTGGCTCCCCCACCGCTCCTCACCGACTTGCTGTAGCATGAAACACAGTGATATGCGGAAAAAGGGGGAAAAAAAGTTGTGGAGGAAAACTTTCAGACTAAAGCTCAGCGCTCAGCGTCGTGCAGCCTACTTCTGCTCTGTCAGCAACCAGGCAGGAGGTAGAAATCAGCGCGCCTCAGAGCGGAGACAAAACCCCAGTCCTTTCCAGCAGAAGTGTTCACAAAAGTATAAATAACAATAATAATAATGGAAGAAATACCACGTTTGCGCGCAGAGACGGGCACCAGTCCACGTCGCAATCTCTTGGTTATTAGTCCGTTTTTTCTCCAGGAAAAAAGCCCAAAACGGGCAAGGAAGCAGAGTAAACAGGACGTCAGGTGTCCTTTTCTGTTTTTTAGCTGAGAAGGAGCTTTTCCAGCTCTGCACCGCAGAGATTTAAAGGCTCCACTCTCTCTCACTTTCTCCGCTCTCTGGTATCCAGCAGACTGAGCTCAGAGCCAGCCAGCGCTTTATTATAGCCTAATAGCACGCTGTGACGTCGACAGAGCAAGATCGGTGGAGCTCCAATTGGCGCGCTGAAAGGGAGGAAGAGAAGGAGGAGGAAGGCGACAGGAGAGAGGAGGGCGCTCAATTTGGTCTTGACAGCCAGAGACAGTCAGCTGACCGACTTCCCTAAAAGAGAAGGGTGGGGGGAAAGAGGCGGGGGGAGGAGAGAGAGGAATACCTTCACTCTATCTGAGCGCGCGATGCTCCTGTTTTTGATTCTTGTGAGATTAATGAGATGTGTTACAGGCTTCCAAGGAGGAGGCTGAATGAAATGCCCTCAATTCATGATTTAGGATTAATCTAATCACATTTTTTTTATTTGTGTAAGATATTTATTTTTACATCATCATCGAAATGAAAACCAAAACATTAATTTATTTTGCAGCATTTATATTCATACAATTTAAATATGTTAAGAAACATTTTTATTTATAACTTCCATGTAAAAGTCTGCTCCTTCCTGCAAAGCATCATTTTTCATTTTCATCCAAACCCAATAATGAGTTTATTTATCTTATTGCACATGCTTACACGTTTCCAAAGCCCCTTTCATGGTCAGACTTACTTGACCAAACTAGTTTATTTGATACTAAAACTACATCTGACTCCGATCAGAGCTTCTGGTTGCTCCATGAGTGCCACAACACACCGTCAGAGGAAAACAGGCTCAAGGCTGCCCCTGCGTGGGCAACACACGCACATACCAAGCTGCACAAGGAGATGCGCATAGTTTTCATCCCCCAACTAATTGCTCATTTTAAAGGCCACATCACCGCAATTATGATATGGTGACAATTAATCTCAATCAGTTTAAATGAACGTAAAGCAATTGCCACGTGTTTTATAATCGTTGCTTGTTAGTGTTTGATAAGTAGTTTGGCCAAAATTTGGAGTTAACGTCCTAGAATTGCGTGCAGCACCTACGCCATGTTCCACGTATGCTTTATTTTCATTAGTATTGTTACTCCCCAAAAATAGTCTTACCGTAAATGAGCCAATTTGATCAATCGATCCGATTATAATTTTGTTTCCAGCCCGATTTCACAGCTGTACACAGGCGCGCATTGATCAGGCAGGGTGGAGGAAGAGGCTGCCAAAGATGAGATCCGATAATGAAGGGCTCATTTGTTTGGAATCAGTTCTTAATCATCTTGACGCATGTGGCTCTGTGTGAGCTCAGAATCCATATCACTGAAACCAATGAGAAGGGTCCGTTTATATGTTTGTGGAGTTATGCACTTTGTGGAAGTCACACTGGACATCCAAGACCAAAAAAAAAAGCAATGGATGATAAAATTATATTAAAAACTTTTAGGAGCCTAATAAAAAATATAGCTTTTACTAAAAATAACAATCTTTATTATTATTATTATTATTATTATTATTATTATTATTATTATTATTATTATTATTATTGTTATTATTATTATTATTATTATTATTATTTGTTTTAGATGCGTATAGTTAATTTTCAGCTTTTTTGAGGAAGATAAAAATTATAGACTCATTTAATATTCGGGCTGCTTTTATAGTGAAACTACAGGAATGAATAAACAAAGAGTCATTTTTATTTTTTCCTCTCATTTTTTGTAGCCTATAAGGAGCACGGGTTCCCGGGTAATTCTCTGCACCTGCAGGCGAGCCTCAGGTCTGCGCTCCGACTTCAAACGCACTATGAGCTGAGCGACTCGTTTCGTGTCGAGCTGCCCCTATACCTCTCTCTCAGCGCGAGGCCGACCCGGCGGCAGCCCCATTAGGTCGTTCTGCTCTCCAACATAACCCGAGCTCACCGCCTAATAGACCCAGGCAGGCCTGCCGCCGGCTCTTCCTCCTCCTCCACCCCCGTCGGTAATCACAAGCTGTAATGGAGAGACGAGATGTAAAAAAGCGTCGATGTCAGCAGCACATCGGTGGTTAATGATCTATTAAGTGATCTGCGTGCTTATGGACAGCGTAAAAAGTGTTGATGCTTGCTTATTTGGCCCTAATGAGAGTCCCATCCTACGGATTTTAGGAATGAATAACCCAAATAAAATCACCTTAAAATTTAACAGTTGGCGCAGGGAGGCTGGAGAGGCTGCAGAGCTTCCCACAGCTCACATCTCACACGTGCACCGGACGCCGGTGTCACGCAGCAGACCCGTGCTCCGTCCGTGGACCGGACCGGATCCAGGACCTATTGCCGCACCCGCCTTTTGGATCTTAATTAAAACTTTATTTTGTCACAGAACCCAGCTGGTTTGAGGAATACTTTTTCCCCCTAACTTCACTCAGTCGGGTTGTATCCCTTTAACAAAGTTGTTCTTCATTTCTCTTTTGACCGGTGGAGATGATGAATATCTCCTCTGAGCCGTCCGGCATATGTTACAGGATGGTACCGGTGCTCCGAAGGCCCGCGTCAGAGTGGATCAGGGATGGAGATGGAAAGACGCTCCTTTTCCGAAGGGCAGCTTTGATGCGCTTTTAACGGAGAGCTGCGCAAAGGCTTTAAAAAGCTTCCAACATATGGTTCTGCGTATGCTGAATTAAGTTTCATTCTGTATTTAAAGCTGAATTAAACAAGAAGCCAATAGTTAAATAGGATGTTATCACGCGCTGTTCCATCGATTGATGTTTAATATTTTGTCAAAAGAGTGAAAGCTGCTCCATTATGCCATACTACACACTGCACCAGGTGTTGAATTCAAGTTACTGAATTATATTTTAATATAGAATATTAAAAATGTCGGTTATTTGTCTAAAATCTCAACTTTGTGGGCATGGACGCGTCAATAATCTGCATTCTTGTATGAGTTACTCGGCAGCGATTCTTGTTTACTCGAGTCTGATCGATTAACTCTTTAGAAACATGAATTATTAAAACTCAGTAAACAGCCAACCTTTCATGAAGGCCAACACTCTCAGAGATAGATGACTAGAGTTGTTTTTTGTTCTTCTACCTGGAAAACATCTGAAGGTGAGATGAAAGTGCAAACATTTACAATTTATTATCATGAAAGATAGGAATCAAACATGTTTTAACTTTGTTGTCCACAGGCTTGTTTTGGATTATTTCCCGGTGTTGCAGCAGGAGTCTCACTCACTCTGGAAGGTGGGTTGATTTGCAGATAAAAGTGGATGTTATTCCTAGTGACAGGGCGCCCCTAGTGGTGAACCTACTCACAGCTTAAATGTTGATATTTATCATCAGTGACGCTTAGTTTTTAGTTCATTTACAGAGCTTCAACTTCTGAAATGGATTTTGCTCCATTCTTGCTTTTATTTTAATGCCATGAAACGATATAAAAGCCTGATAGGAAGGCCAAACTATAATTGTGGGCCTTTTCTGAGATTAGATGTCCCTGATTGACGTGTAGTAAATATAACAACAAATAAATGTCAGTGTGCACGGTACTGACTTAATCTCATGAGGGAGGGACGACGACAATAAATCCGCCTTTTGCTGTGGTCATTTCATTAATGTAAATTGCAATGTTATGTACGATAGTTTGGCTTCCCTCCAGCTGGCTCTTTGCTGAGGCTTGTGCATGATATTAGGTTTTATCATAAACTGGTGGCCACAGAATGTAGGCAGCGCCACAAGAGCCAAATATCAGAGTGCTGCTATGACATAATTAAAGAGCACATTCTCGGGTCATAAACCACAGTTTACATCAGTGTTTTCTGAGCCAACAACTGGCTACTGTCATTCTAAAGAAACTTATGAAGTACTGAAAGCATAATTGGGGATATTTTTACTCACACTATTTAACATTTGTGCTTTTCCAAATTCCACCATCGCTGGTTTACTTTCTGCTCATGGACTGCTCAGCAGACCTCTGGGTTATGTCAAACCAGATTTTCATTTAATATCATAGAAAAAAATGCATCCGTCATATCAGCGTCTGTGGCTCAGTGTGTTATTAAGATCAAAGTAGCGAGAGAGTTTTAATGTGCTCCAAATGGGTCTGTGTAAAATCTGGGTGATTTCTCGGTGAAGTGTTCATGTTTGTAATCAGGAGGACTTTGTTGTCAGACCTCAGGTCAGTTTAAAGGAAGTATTTGAGGGAACCAATCTGAGTTTTTTCCAGCTCCTGACATGGAACTCTTCTTCTCCGCGTACACTTTGATTTCTCCTCTCTCCTTCGTCGTCCACCCTCCTCTCTTCCGTGACCTCCTCGCCTCTCTGCTCCCTCACCCTGGTCTTCTGGTCCTGGCCCTGGCCCTGCCCACCCTGGGTCATTTATCATGGTCCAGGAGGGGAGCCCCCAGGCCTGCAGGCCTCTGTCAGCCCCTGCAATCGCCTCTTTGTGGCTCCCAGCAAACAAGTGTCGGATCAGCAAAAGTCTATTAAAGCCTGGTGGGTCTTTCTCAGCCAATTGGGTTCGGGTCACTGAGCTGCTCTCCTCGCTGGTCCGAGAGCTCTTTGTGTCGCCGCCGTTCGCTGACACAGATCCCCACAAGATTAATGATTTTTAGCAGCTATTTGGGTTTTATTCACAGGGTCCTTCTCTCTGTCTCTCCTCTCTTGCTCTGCTCCTTTCCCCCTCGTTTTCCTTTTCTTCTTAAACCTGTCCTTTCCTCTCGTCTCCTTTAGATTCTCACATTTCCTCTCACTGATTTCTTTTAACTGTTAATCTAATTTCTGTCAACTCTGTTCCTTTACTTTTCAAATATGTGTGATTTCTCCCTGCGTTTATTTAACAGCTGTCTCTGATTTGCAGACAAGCTGCTACTTGAAGACATGACCTCACCGCTGTTAAGCCCCACAGTGATGCTCCGCTGTCTAATTTATCAAACGGATGGTCAGAAACCAACTCGACTACATCCACATACTGGCAGCTGCCTTCCCTGCAGCGTGCCTCAGGAGGCTCGGAGTAATTTGAAATCCAAGAGGCACTTCCACAACTTCCATGTTGCCATGTTCTCAGTGTAGTTTCCAGTAATTACTGCAGGTTAAGTGCACGTCCCGGACCTCAGTGGAGGCAGCTCTATCCCTCACCTGGGACATGACTCAGCACAGTTCAGGTCATCCGGCCATTTCCCTGACCACTGGACCACACCCCAACCTACTTTAAACCCACAGGACAAGCCCTGTTTATGAACAACTTGCATTTACTTCCATCACGTAATGTAATGATAGTTTTATTTACTGGCTGGACTGTTTGCAGGAAGATGGCCTCACATCAATGCAGACCCGTTTTACAGAGGTTTGCATCATTACGGGTTGCTATCATTGTATTCTAGTTTAGTATAAGGTACTTTCTCAGTGAGGCTATAGTGTTAGATTTATCTGCATCAGAACCTTAGCTTGTCTTTTCTCTCATCTGATTTGTCTGGTGCTCCTGCTGGAGTAACTACATGTCCCAAGGGTCCAGATGCTCCAACAGGATGTTTACACACACAAATACTTCAATAATAGACTTGATTTTCACAAACTTCTATACAGGAACCTCCTACCCCCTAATATTCATTTCGTAATTAATTAGAAGTTTATCTGTTTGTAAAAGTATCCGTAGACTGTCCATCTATTCACAGTGGAGGTTTAGTACTTTGTGTAACTCTTCTATAGTTCCAGTTTTTAATTGTTTTAATTTTTACATATTCCTTCTTAGAAACCAGATGTTCTTGGTGGGTCTTAATGGGTTTTTATGTCTTTTTGATGGTTTTTCAAGTGTTTGTTATTTATTGTTATTTACCTGTTTTTTCACCAATTTCCAGTCCAGTACCATAGATGATTATTTCTATGATTGTCAAGTCACTTTATTTTGACCTATGAACCAGTTCAGATGTACAAAACTTGGCAAAAAACAGTTATAAAGTTGTATTAGTACTATTCCAAACTATACTATACTATACTATACTATACTATACTATACTATACTATACCATATTTGTTACAGTTTTTTTGTAGCAGGATCAATGAAAATCCAGTAGATAATTAAGTATGTGAGTAAGTAATTCAGTTTTATTTATATAGAACTCATCACAGACAGAGAATCACAAAGTGCTTCACAGAGTTCAACAAAAAAATGAAGTAATAAAATAATAATTATCTTAAAAACAAAATATTAAGTAAAATAAAAATTTAATCAGAAAACACAAAGTCATGAATTAATTAAATGATCATAAATATCATAAAACTAATGAAAGATGATTATAAATTTGCATTAAAAAAAACATGCAAAAGATTTAAGTAAAAGCAGATCTTCAGCTGCATTTTTAAAGTGTCCAGACTGTCAATACTACGTAAGGATAAAGGAAGATCATTCTAAAGTCGGGGTGCAACAGTGTGGAAGGAGGCAATCACCTCAACCAAATTGGTCTTTGGAACTTCTAGAAGGTTCTGGTCTGTGGAATTGAGGGCTCCGTTTGGAGCATAAGGCTTTGACACTTCAGTAATAAAGGGAGGAGCTTGACCATGTAGAGCATTGAAAGTTATAGTCAGGATTCTAAAATGAATTCTAAAGTTAACGGGTAACCAGTGCAGAGACATCAGAATAGGAGTGATGTGTGTGTTCTTCAGGTAGAAGCCTCGCTGCAGCGTTTTGTACCAACTGAAGGCGGTCAAGGGCTTTTTTGTTAAAACATGTGAAAAGTGTGTTACAGTAATCAAGACAGGAGGGGATAAAGGCATGGATGACCATTTAAAGTTCATGTTTTGACACCAACCTTCACAATTTGTTTATATTTATTTAGTGATAAAAATAGTTTCAGACCAGCTTTTTGAGTGGCCTTCAAGAGACATTGATTGGTCTAAAACAACACCCAGTTTCCTCACATTTGACTTGACAGCAGAAGATAAATGACCAAGTTGTTGACTAATCAGAGGAACCATGCTCACAGGGGCAATGATCAGACACTCATTCTTTTCAGAGTTTAACTGAAGGAAGTTATCTTCTAGCCAGCTGGAGATAGTTGATAGACATTCTAGCAGTGTCTAAGCTATCTAGACAGAGGGGTAGAAACATTGTTGTTTATCACAAACAAGCCCATCTCCACCTCTGATATATTTAAATTTCTTGGCACTCACGTCTGCAATAACCTTAAAAGGAAAACAAATGCAGAACATAGCCACAAGGAAGCTCAACAAAGGCTTTTCCATCTCTGGCAATTGAAGAAGTTTAAAGTACGTCCTCGTCTTTTACGCCAGTTCTACACAGCTGTCATTGAAAGCATTCTTACCTCATCCATTACGGTACAGTGCACTTGATAAACTCTCCAGGAAAATAACTAGAACAAATCATCACCAGAGCATCTAAACTAACTGGAACTCCTCTCCCTTCCCTGGATCTGCTTCACCAAAAAGAACACTACAATGTGCACAGGATTCTTTCTGACACCTCTCATCCTGCATGCTCTGCTTTTCAGCTACTGTCCTCTGGTAGACGATATAGGTCAATTGCTTCAAGAACAACCCAGTTTAAGAACAGTTTCATTCCTACTGCCATAATGACTCTAAATTATGAGGGTCGCTAGGCTGCTCTGATCCTCCACAGTTATTTGTTGTTGCTTCTCTGTTCTATGTGTGTAAGGGGATGAAACTGATGGAACCTGCTTTGTCCAAACTATGTACTGGGAAAAAAATCCACCAGTTTGCTGTGTGGTCATTAAAGTAATCTAATCTAATCTAATCTAATCTAATCTAATCTAATCTAATCTAATCTAATCTAATCTGGTCTAATCTAGTCTAATCTAATCTAATCTAATCTAATCTAATCTAATCTAATCTAATCTAATCTGGTCTAATCTAGTCTAATCTAATCTAATCTAATCTAATCTAATCTAATCTAGTCTAATCTAATCTAATCTAATCTAATCTAATCTAATATCTAATCTGATCTAATATCTAATCTAATCTAATCTAATCTAATCTAATCTAATCTAATATATAATCTGATCTAATATCTAATCTAATCTAATCTAATCTAATCTAATCTAATCTAATCTAATCTAATCTAATATCTAATCTGATCTAATATCTAATCTAATCTAATCTAATCTAATCTAATCTAATCTAGTTAAGACAGTTTATGAAACAGAATCCTTAAAGGAGCAGTACAGCTGAGTGTCATCTGCATAGCTACATAGGATAAGAGAAATTGTGGTTTAACATGTAAAATATGTCAGCATTAACAAGGTGATAACATGCTATGAGATGAAAATGGTACCTCTTTGGTATGGTTACTGGACCTAATAGACCAGAAACTTTCTGGTCCTCCATTTGTTCAGTTTCCTATAGGTACTGTGCATTACGGCTAAGTCCGTGGAAATAAATGGACTGAACACGAGGGAAAAGGCACCCAAAGACAAAAGAAAAACTTGAACCAACCTTCAGAAAGTCTAAAGCACATGTGCTGAGACCTGGTCCCTTGGGGGCTGCTGTCTTTCAGTTCTAGTTGTTTCCTTGATCCAACTCACTTTTAATCAGCATGGTTAGGGAAGCAGGCTTCTGCTAAGCCTCATCCACTGCTGAACTGGTAATTCAACAAATAAATCAGGAGTGTTGGAGCAGGGAAACAACTAAGACATGCTGGATAGCGGCCTCGTAGAAATGTGACTTTAGAAATGTGTAACAATTTAAACCTTTGCACTGTGCTGTGAAAGAGAGGAACTTTGACAGTGTTGAAAAGACAGAATAATGCATGTTGTAGAGAGCTTTTAAATTGCATTAAAATATGTTTCAGCAAAAATAAACAAGTAAAACATCCTGTGTGTGTGTGTGTGTGTGTGTGTGTGTGTGTGTGTGTGTGTGTGTGTGTGTGTGTGTGTGTGTGTGTGTGTGTGTGTGTGTGTGTGTGTGTGTGTGTGTGTGTGTGTGAGATTGTCCCCTGTGATGAGGCTGCTTTCAGCTCAGACTCTCCCTGTGTGTTTTACAGCACGTCTGTTTTAGGACTGGATGGATGAACCCTTCCCGTTGCTGTGTCCATCTACCTGCCCTGTTTCCTGTCTGATTAATGCTCTCTGTGTGTGTGTGTGTGTTTGTTTGTGTGTAAGTCTGTGTGTAAATGGTTATAGATGGGACAACACCACCACGCTGGCAGTCTGAATCATTACTCACACAGATAGGGAGAGACCTGGGGCAGAGGAACTCCTCACATCATCCACCTTCCACAAGCTACTGTGCACACATCCTTCTGCTGCTCATTTTACAAGGAGGGAGCCTTGGGTTTTGACAAAACCTTCTCATTTTGTTAGGACATCAAATAATTCACACTGTAGGAGTGAGAAATGGTTGTTGATGGTTTTTCCACCTGTTCTTTGGCTAAATTTGACTCATTTTTAAAAATAAACTGACCCACTTCACTGATGAAAAAGGATGCTAGCTAAATTACTTGAATGATCAGCTCAACCAAACTTTAAGATCAATAGTAAAAATTATGGCTTGTTACATTGACTTAAGTAAAATAAATGCATTCACAATCACATCATTCTTTTAAAAGGGATGGGCAGATCTTTTTAGTTTGATTTCAGACTTAAGAGCTTTGACTTTAGTTTTATAGCAAATTTCCTTCAAGTGTTAGATAATTTTTTTTTTTTTGCTTAATTCAGAGTAAGAGTTTTCTTTCAAACCTGAAACATGATCTGTGTGAAAACAAATGTATAAAGGTATTCCTTAAACATTACCTTGTTTAAGTGTTGTACTGCAACTCCAGCTGTCATGGCACTCTGGTGGGTTGAGAGTTTACCACAAATGTAGATATTTATTCAGTCAGAACACCAGATGGCTACATGATCATGACTACAACTTTTTGACCTGACTCCATTAGAAAAGCATTTACTGGAGGTGATTCAAAAATCTGATCTTTGGAGTTGCTTGACCACCACTGAGCAGCTGCCAGTGGCTTTTGACTCAAACCATGAAAGTGCCATGTTTGCATCTTTTAGAACAAGTTAACATTTTAAGCTGACCCTACTAGGATCCATTATGACAGGATTTACCTCTCCTCATGCACCCCACATAAACTTTATTATCTTTTTCAGTCCAGCACATTTGAGTGTGGTGCTTTCTGAGGTAGCATCCCCAACAGGATGCAAAACCAAAGAGGCTGCTCTCAAAATAAAAGCATTACTTGGCTCTTTGATCGGAATGTGCTACAGACCAGAGTTGCATGTTGCTTCTACATGGTTAACTTCATGGTCTGTCACCATTTATTACATCTCCAAAACCAATCATAACTTTTAAGAATTGAAATTTTATCTAATGATATTTCTCATGAGTGCTGAGGTAAAATTTTGGAGAATACCTGAACACCCCTAAAACAGCATTTACTAGCCTCTGCTTTCCTGGCACTGGTGAACTTTTGATTAGGCCTAATTTTACAATCTAAACTTTATGCAGTAATAAAACAGAAACTTCCAGTCAGGACTGAAGTTATAATTTAGATCAGAAGCTCTCAAACTTCAGCCTCTGGCTTAAAATTTACACAAACAGAGATTTGTGACCCTGACTGTTACTGGTTCAAGCAAAATGACAACAAGTATTAAAAAAATTGAGTGGGAGTTAAACATGTTAATTATTATTAATTAATTAGAAAAAAAGAATTACCACTTGAGCCCAATTGGGGGTGAAAAGGTTTAGCATCCAAATGTATGCATTATATATAAATGGCCTGTATTTGATATAGCACCTTCTAGAGTCCTGGAACCCCTCAAGGCGCTTTACAACACAATCAGTCATTCACCCATTCACACACACTTTCACACACTGGTGGGGATGAGCTACAATGTAGCCACAGCTGCCCTGGGGCGCACTGACAGAGGCGAGGCTGCTGAGCACTGGCGCCACCGGTCCCTCCGACCACCACCAGCAGGCAACGTGGGTTAAGTGTATTGCCAAAGGACACAACAACAGCGACAGACTGAGCGGGGCTCGAACCTGCAACCTTCCGATTACGGGGCGAGCACTTAACTCCTGTGCCACCGTCGTATATATCAATAAATATCATCAAGCTGCACCTCCAACAAAACTGCAGAGCCTGGGCGACAAGACCATATAAACCGTTTTTTACGTGACACAACTAAATCCACAAAGTCAATCATGACAAATTGCTCATTGTGAAGAAAAGAAATGAAGAGATTTAAACTTTTTTACTGTTATGTTTTCTTGTTGGTAGAAAGCAGGCTGGCAGTAACTTTATCCATATGAATGTTATTACAGCAGGAGGGACAAGCATACAGGCAGCATTCATCTTGTAACCCTCAGCAGAACTTCCCCTGAACTCTACACTACAACTCTACATATATTATCAGTGCTCTGCTGCCACCTACTGCTCTGTTCAGTACACAACATTTACAATATTCAATGTCCATTTACACTTCATCAATAACACATGTACTAATATTTACACATTCCAACAAGTCCCACAATGGCTATCTTTATAATGAGATCAAAGTAATCAAATAGACTTTGTGGTTACAGAGATATACTTGTTAATGGGTGGGCATGTCATCTGTGCCTCACTTAACTTATTTCTAATAAAAAAGTGCTTTAAGGCAAATTGTCTTGAATGAATAAATGCAAATTATTAATTATAGTTAATTACAAAGCCTTAATTAATTAGATTAATTATTTTAATCAAGTACCACCTAAAACGATAACTAAATAATAGCATGATGATACAACGCAACAGCCACTATAACATTTTTATCCATTTAAAAATACTATTACAATATTTTGTCAAGACTGTACTAAAAATAAGATTTTTACAGTACTTTTTGTGTGACTAGTTTTCTGCGGATTACCTTAAGCCGTCAATGGGGGGCTTGACCCCATCATTAGGAAGCACTGGTTTAGAGCTAGCAGAAATGCAGAACAGTAATAATATTAGTTGTGAAATGTCAACAGCAAATGAGATTAAACTCAAACCTTGTAAAACTTGCCATTTATTTTATTTATTACGAGCTAAAAGCATCTTAAAGTTTTCTAGCATATCTGATAATATCACAGATTTATTTTTCTATAGGTGTTAAAAAAACACTCAACTAACATTAACTTTGGGTTTATTCTTATACACCTTAAAGTGAACACGTCAGTGAAACTCTTGGAAAGTTTTGACAAATGGAGAATTTAGCCAAATAATTTAAGTTGCACATAGAAATAACTTGGGAGATTAATAAGTAGGAAAACAGTTTTCAGCTGCAGCTTTTTTGGTTCATTTTGTCTTTTGTAGGAAGAGCAATTACAGCCCCATCATGACAAAACTGTGAACTTGAACTAGATAGTTAAATGAAAAAAATGTTGAGCAGCTATACTGAACACACAAAAGGAGAGCACTTCACAACAGATCACACAAACAAAACAAATGTGTGTGTACTTCATGTGTTCATTCACTTAATATTGTGTAAGGTGTGCTTTTGGCTCTGAGTTCCTGAACGTGTCTGTTTATGTGCATGAGTGCATAGCATGTGTGTGTGTGTGTGTGTGTGTGTGTGTGTGCGTGCGTGCGTGTGTGCGTGTGTGTGTGTGTGTGGGTGTGGGTGTGGGTGTGTGTGTGCAGGAAGGGGATGAATATGAACAGGAAGAGAGCCTGTAAATAAATCTGTTTGGGGATTGGGGGTGTGGGGATGAAATATGGTCCCAGAGATGTGGAGCAATGTGAAAAACTCGGCAACGCCAGGGAATAACAAATCTCCTGATGTCGCCTTGCTGCAAAATAAATACACTCCCCTGTACAAGTCATCCATCTGGACTATGAGTCGCAACAAAGATGCCCCCAATACATCCCCAACACACACACACACATGCACACGCATAGAGCCAACACCCGTCTCGTACAGCATCTATGTTTATTTACACATTCATTTATTTGTTTGTTTGTTGAATTAGAAGCCGCTTCTGGGGGATTGAAAATGTTTTTTTTTTGTGTGGATAAAATGCAACTTT